ACTTTATAGATTGTAACTTTTGAATCTTCGTATGTTGCAATTGAATGAACATTCGTTTGTGGGCATCTGCAGTCTGTCGATGACAAACAGTTTAGTTTAAATCCGGAACCAGGAGTTAACATTTCTGTGGAAAAATCGATATGGATCGTTTCTACGCTGTCGCAGCTCAAATTCATTGCAAGTCCATCCAAGCGAATTAATTTTCGCATAGTGGAAATTATCCATTCCAAATCGCTTAGCTTTACTTTAGTTCCTGCCGCAGACTTAAGACGACGCCGGCACAAGCAGGAAACGCCGCGATGTGAACTCGCGTAAATTATGCAGACATCTTGATACGGCCTTTATTAATTGATGACAAGCTGGCAACAGTGCTTTGCATAATGCATGTGGTTCAAGACGCGAAGGACCCACCGACCCTCAGGGACCCATGCTTGAAATTTTCAACATCCAGGTGGGTCTCATGTTGGCTCATTGAGTCAAAATAGGTAAAATTGATTCTCTAAAGGCGCTCTCCTTTAAAAATGTTAATACTAGAAAATAATGCGAGTAGCTCTTTGAGGGTTTCACCAGCTTTCGGAGAGAATTCATCCTAAAGAAGTCAAAAGTTTCATAAAAATTGCTGCAAAACTTGAGCTTTCCATCGTGGTAAAGCATTGTTTCAAAATTGATGTTTCCAGTCAACTACCTGCTGCGTTTTAAAAATTCGTACCTTCCAAACTAATGCGAATAGCAACTGCGAAATTTTTACCAGCTTTAGAACACACGTCCGTCTAAAGATGCCGAAAGTTTCGTAAAGATAACCCTGAATCCTGAGTTTTACCAACTTGAAAATATCAGTCTGATAATGGATGCTCTTACTCAATTGCGCTCGCACCTTTAAAACTATGGATCTTTCAAATTGAAGCAATTACCAATTTTTCTTTTTTTTACAAATTTCTCTTTTTCGAACCAACATAGGGATATATGGCCTCCTCTTCTTTACAAATATGAATTCTGTCCAGAATCGAATTATTTAATTCGATTTTCCTTTTCGACAGGTGGCGGGTCAAATCTTGCCCTATTTTCAAACCTTGCAATAATTTCTCTATGAAATCAACAATGATTATGTTTATTCAAATTCCAACAGTTAGTCATTTTCGATTTCAAATGTGACAAAATCAATTTTAGATTAAGTAAAACCATAAAAAATTGCCTTCTGACTACCAGTGAATACTAATCAACTAAAACACATTAGAAATTCATGAATAGTCGGCTATTGCGGTTTTTTGTCGCAAATTGAAATACAAATTTATAAATTATTGCATAAATCGGGTCAAATAAACGTACCATTTCCTCGCATCAACAGTTTTTCCGACAAATTGTGCAAAAATAGTGAAAAATAAAATCGCATTGGTCCGATCGCTAAATGTTGCATATTTGCCGTTTTTGCCAGTCGCGTATTTTTTAACGACCCAATTTAAATATTTCACTTTACAATAAACGGGCGTTTGGGCTTGTTTTGATGATGCACTGAAATGAAAGTTTTGCTGAAATCATAAAGCGAAAAACCCAAGAAGTTTCAAAGAAGAAGCCCCCAAGTTGCCCAGTAGAAACTCTCGAAAAAATTTGAAGTGAATATTAGAGAGAGTTTCTAAATTTATTTAAGCTGCTTGATAAAACTCCTTTGGACTTGCTTGATAAATTGGACAAAAAACGGTGCATTAGCAATTAATTTTTACTCCCATGCACTTTGTCGACGGCAAAAAGCCGATACTTTTTGAATATTGCGCCAATAAATCATCGGCATGGACAAAGTGAAGTTTATATTGCATAAACTGCCATATAACCAGCTATAAGAGTCGTTCACTTATTTTTTATAGTTAATGCGAAGATGGTTTTTAGCTGAATTTTTTTCAGATGCAACACTTTCATTCTGTAACTTGTCCTTTGTGTTTCAGATTCTTCCTCAAGTTTTTCCTTAAGTGCAATCAAAATTGCCTGAAAAATGCAGGCAATCCCAGGGATATGCGACGATTTCAGGTAAATAAAACTGTTATAATTTTATGGAAATGAAAATATTAAATATAAAACTTTGAGTTGAGTGTAAAAGCATTAAAATCTCAAAATGTATTATTGTAAGCGAAAATTACACGCGACAAGAAACAAGGTGTACAAATGCAATTTCAAGGCAAAGTAAATAACAAAATGCAATATTTGAAATAAAAAATCAGAATTTTATTAAAGTTAACATCACAATATCTATTTTGCTGTTTTCTTTTCAAGAGCAGTCTAAGTCCAAAATGTATGTATAAATTTAGTATCAGCGTATAACTGGAGACGGAGTTTCAATTTAATTAATATCATCAACACTATTCTTCACAGTTATAAGCAAATTGTGGCTGCCTTTATGGATCTCTCAAAGGCTTTAGACACCATCTTAACTTACCTAAATGTTCATTTATGTGCAAAGTAAACCAGGTTTTTTGCGGTTTTATCCATTATTATTTCTAAAATTCCTACAATGTGAGTCCTTAAAATCTATCATTACAAATACAAGCGAACATCTGTCTAAATTCTAATTATACACTTTAATTTGAGCTTAAAGGAACCGAAGCATCTGCTATGGCTTTTCGTCACTGTGAATTTCCTTCAGCGAAGATTCAATCTCAGTGTTCTCGTGTATGATAAACATGGGCTGGAGAACTTCACTTCTATTTTCCGGGTTGAAGTACTTCTTGCTTACTACTATGTCCCCTTGCATGACCACCGACTGATCTTTTGTTAAGTTGCACATTCCCGGTAGAAAGCTGCTGCCTAAAATTGGAAATTATTTTTTCGTGTGGCTGAAAGCTGGTTTCAATCTACCTGAGAAGAACTGAGCCAAAAATGGTGAGCAAGGATCCAGCGTAGGTAGAGCTTTTGGTACAGCTGCAGTACTAGCTTCAGTAATTTCTTCATTTTCCGTAGAATCTGTAGAGTCTAAATCGGGTGAAATAACTCGCTCAGATTTGGGCATCTGAAGTATACTAGCTAGTGGAACTGGAGTGGTGGGATTAGAATTTAGATCGTTCTTCTTAGTTGTTTGTGAACCTGAAGCATCCCTGCCCTCAAAAAATTCAAGAATCAGTTTTTTGTAAAAGCCTTTCTAAAATCAATTACCCAGGATTGGCTAAAGACGTCGCAGCCGTTTTCCCAGATTCAATGTTATGAAAACCCGGCTCTCCATATCCGAACCCGTTCATTTTTTTGCTTAGTTTGAAGATTATCCTTTTGCTCTCGCCATCAGGCGATCCGTAATACGCTTTGGCCAAGAAGGTGCCAACCCCACAAGTGATGTTTTCAAATTTGCTTACCACATAGTCGGCTCGTTCTTCGATTATCTCAAAGTCGAGCCGGCGAGCCAAATTTTCTGCTAATTTAATGTTATACTGTCGGTATTTTTTGGAGGAATTGAGTGGTTTTTCCTCAACTGGTTGGTGAAAATTTAAATTATTAACCGCAGGTTTTAGAAACGAAAAACCCACCTTCTGGAAAGTCGAAGACCAGCTCATATTCATGCCACGGAGTCACCCTTCCTCTACTTTCGTTCATATACAGGCGGTCTGTAAAGCACAGCTTCACTGCGCTGGTTTCATTGTAGAATGATTCCTCAATTAACTGCCTCAATCCAACATGACCAAGAAGATTTTTAATCGGAAGCTGGATGTTTTCAGGCTCGGTTGCAGCTTGAGTAGGTTTCAACCCAAGCTTACTTCGGTAAGCCATCGATGGCGCCTAGAAAACAAATAATTCACGCTCAATGTTTTTGGGCTAAATAATCAGCTAAGCTAAACTTACCGCAAGAAGGGCGAAGCAGAGAACAGTATAAACCATCATCTTCACTCAACACTAAATCAAACCGCAAATTAGCGAACCAATCGGAAATGATAAATGCTTGCCGATTGTTAATTGCTTTTATATTGGCCGTTGTTTAGATTGATATGAAATGGTGTCCTCGCGCCGCAAATTCTCAGGAAATCGGTGCTAATAATCTTCGCTTTTATAACATAAAAACTGGGAAATTGAAGATGGCGTTAATCCGTTTTCTTTCTTCCTTGGCAAGGTCGAGGACGGTCTTGAACATGCAACGTGCCGATGTAATCGTTTCGTAATGTTTAGTTCCGAGATTCGATGGATGGATATCATACACTTTTGTTTTAGCTGAGTGAGTTTAGCTTGGGTTGGWATACAGGGTGATTCATTGGGAATGGGATATGCGGTAATTGGAKATACGAGTTGGTCACAACGATGCGTTTCATATCGAYATTTCGGCCCGTTCTTGAGATACTAGGGGTGTTAATAGYACGCGAAATTGCAAATGTAAATATCCTGTAKTWGATAAACTAAAACATAAAAAATTCGTAATAATTACTTAAGGTAATTGTTCAAACTGACCACAWKYSACRCKAATACYRACTTRMAWTCTTTRYAACAAATCTTCACACGAACCAATAGAAKCKTTGTAAACTCTATYTTTTATTTGAGRCCTRATTGSGAAATCCAGAGGATTGAAGTCCGGTCTTCTGAGAGGCCAGGCAGTCACGCTCCCACGGGCAATCCAATGATTTGCAAAARTKTCATCTAAGTAGGCACGCACCAGCCGAGAAAATGTGGTGGAGCTCCATCCTGCATAAACCAAATKTTTGTYTTYAKTGGAACATTTTCAAGAAACCCGGCCAAAYTCAGTTGATGAAATTGYAAATACTATTGGATAGTTAATTTGGAGGGAAGATCAAATGGTTTAACCGAAATATTGCCAATAACACCGCACCAAACATTAASAGTTCTGGTCAGAGTTCAACAGATGATTATTTATCCAGTTAACCACTCCATTCCGAGGAATTCCACTCCACCTCGTCTCACCGGTGAACAAAATTTTCTCTGCCATCGACGGTTTCTTGTTCTTTTGGAAAATGGGCAAAACGTAAACGAGCAAAAGGATCTTGCGGCATCTAATCCTGTACAGGAGTTAAACGAAATGGATCTAGTTCTCCTTTTTTCATAATTCTCCGAACGTTTAGCTGAGTTGCACCTGTTGCAGTACTTAAAAGATGTGATGTTCATGGTGGATTTTCAGTTACACTAAATGGAACTTCTTCTTCTAGCTAATCAAAAACTCTTTTAAGGCTGCTCTTATTTTATCTCGGACGGGAAGACCAGTTTCTCTTAAGCGATGGTACAAATTGCTAAACAGCGTCTGGGTTGCTTGCCTTCAGATCGGATACATATCATATTAAAGCTTTTCGCAACTTTAGGAAAATTTGCAATAGAAAAAGAACTGGTGTCATTTTCACTCTGTTTATGGTTTGGCGCTAAATAAATTTGTTTTTCGAGCAAAAAAAGGTCATCGAACAACTATCGAAAGTCTCTCCATTGACTTCGACATCATACGCGCCCCCGAATTTTGGCCCCCTCGATGGCCGCCCCGTATCGAACGGCGTGTGCCGACTGTTCCCCAATGCGCCCCCATTTTCGTCCCCATGGGAACGCGTACGGGGAGCTGCTGATCCCAAGGGAGCGCGTGCGTCCCTCGGGAGGAGTCTGTCTTGAACTGCACTTCGGACGATCGGACTCAGTCATATTTGCTGTGAGCTTCCTTACGGTACGAACCGCAAGAAAATTGTTGATGTTGAGCCAATTTTGGGGCGCAATTAATAAATTTGGTGTTTATAACTCATCCTGGGTTATCTCGGACTTTTTTCGAGAAGGTCTGAAAATTTAATTAGCATTGCAGCAAATTCTGACTTCAGTCATTGAGCGTTTTCGCACAAATGCATCCGCTGCTTTAAAAATTCGAAACTACCAATCTGCTGCAAGCAGCAACTTGAAACTTTGATAGTCTATTGAGAACACGTGAGTCTCAGAATCTTAAAAGTTTCATTGAAATTTCGAGAAAATTGTGATTTCTGACAACATACTAAATATTGAACTAAAAATGAATGTTTCAACCCAGATGCACCCTCTGTTTCAAAATTCATAGCTTTGAATTTTATTAAGATTTAGTAGTACACAATGCACCAAAGTCTGATTTTTGCTGATTCAAAAAATGTTAGTCTAAAAATGAGCGTTTGTGCACAAATACACCCGCTGGTTCAAAAATTCCAAACTTTCAATCTAGGGCAAGTAGCAACTTGAAACTTTCACGGTCTACATAAAATACTTGCACTTCAATCCTCGGAAAGTTTAATTGAAATTCCACAAAATTCTAGTTTTGAACACCAAGTAAATAACTCAAATGCAACTAACTGCTTCAACCCAAATGCAACTTCTGGTTTCAAAATTAACAACTTTCAATTTAGAGTGAGTAGCAACTTGTAACATTTGCTTTCTATAGAAGACACTTGGAGATCAGAGTTCTCAAAATTTAGTAAGCCTCGTACCAAGTTCTGATTTTTGTTGATTTTAAAAATGTTGATCTGAAAATGAGCGTTTCTGCACAAATACACTCGCTGCGTGAAAAATTCCCATCAAAATTTTAACAAGTGGAAACCTGCTCATTTCAACGTCTGAAAAAGGCTCTTCAATCTCCACATCCTACCAGCTTGGCTTAAATTCTGCAAGACTATAACCTTTTGCAACTTCACAAATGTTGACTCAAAAATGAACGTTTGCATATACATATATATTCATAAAAATGAAGGTTCACTAGTTGCTATAAAAATTCGTAATTTTGAATTTATATCAAGTAAAAGGCTGAAACTTTCACCGCCTCTAGACGATACTTCAATATCAAGATCCGGAAGATTTGTTTTCGTTAGAATCGCTCAAAATTTGGATTTTTAACTTATTGGGCAAATAATGAATTAAAAATTAGCGTTTCAACCCAAACGAATACTAGCAAAAATGTTGGTCTTAAAATGAGCGTTTGCGCTCATGGTACAAAAAATCCTCGATTTTTAACCGAAAATTTCACAGTGACTACTCGTTAACCGGTTTTTCTTAAACTAAAATCTCTCAAAGTGCCTGAATTTCCGCAGTATTTTTGAAAATTGCTCAAGTATTTTTTGAACGGTCATTAACACTACTACATATTTCATAGTTTGCCACTATGAACCATCTACACATGAAAGATATTTTCTGTTTTAATAAACCAAAATCCTCAAATAGCTAAATAAAGTGAAACTTTAAATGTTCAGGACCATCACTGTAACAAGTTACGCATTAAGAATGAAATTAGCCTATTTATATTGAGAAAAATCAGGAAATATTTCCACAAGAAAACAATGTCCAGCCAGCCAGTTTCCGATATTATTATCGCAAAACCGAGCCGTTCGGTTGTCATTTGTTTTCCGGAAAACTCCCCGACAAGACGGATCTCCGGATCCAATTTTCCGGAGGCCATTTTCCGGAGCGGCCATTCATATCGGCGGCACCGGAGTTTTAGACCGGCTAAATATTGAATTTATGGTGCCATATAGAGAAGGCCCGGCTTTCTATGATGAAAGTAGGTAAGATAAAAGATGAGATTCGCCGAAATAAGAGCCGTAGAGCGGGAAAAAGATGAAAAACAATTTTCTTTTCTTTCGAGATTTATGCCGAAATCTGGCGTTATCGCTTAAGGAATATCTCCTGCTTTTTACTACTTATGATTGGGACAGCAGCCATTCGAGCCAATTGAAACAAAGTCGAAAAACGATGTTTATTGCCATTAAACATAGCGCACAATTTGTAGGAAACAGCAAAAGAGGTGGCTAATTGGCTAAGTTATAGCGGCAGTTAAGCAGGGCTTACTGCTTGCAAATAATTTCGTTCTGAAGTAGATTTTATTAAGCCGAACACGGATTACGTCTTTGCCTCGACGAGTTTTATTCAAAGCCTACCCGCATATAATCCGGAGTCTAAAAAATCAAACTAAACATGAAGGTTTTTATACTCTAGACCTGATTGATTTCTTTATTCAAAAAACATTAGGAAGACCCTTTTAAATTTTAAAATTTACCCCCATTTGTGCTGCACAAGTGCTGTACTCCTCATTTAGTTACTGAACTCAAATTTGGATATCCATCTGTTCCCTTTCGTGTTTCAAGTTCATTATTTATTTTGTTATTTAATGTTTTCCGGATTAAATAGATTTTCAACTCTGCTCACGGTTTATTTTAGAAGAATAATTAGCCAAATAACCTGTTTGATCCGCTTTTTGACACGAAGCCTAAATCGTAACTTTGCCTATCGGCCAAAAAGCAGCTCAACTGAAAGAGACATTTTTGAAAGAGAACATTTTAGCAGAACTGAAGAAGAGAAGAAGAACGAAAAAAATTATATGTTATTAACCATTGCTCTTCTACGAGAGAGTAAATTTAAAATATATATCTGGTGGGGTAGAAAGTCAACTACTTAATTGATATAATTTTCTGGATATATATATAATAATACCCTTAAATATTATAGACTTATAAACAAGTAAATGTTCATAGTTTCTTATTTAAAATAAATTAACAATGAACATTTTTTAAGCAGTATTTTTTTAAGTAAGTTAATAAAATTATATTTTTTCAGGTAGTGATATCAACACAAGTGGCAGTGGATGGTCCCCTTCTAGCAATTTCCGACAACATGTTTGTACATAATAATTCAAAGCACGGACGAAGAGCGAAAAGACTGGATCCCACTGAAGGTAAAAGCCAAACACAATTTGCCGATCAGAAATTTAGAAAAATTGGTAATATTTACTGGTGATAATCTCATGGCAATCGTGCGGCTACATTTTGCAAGTTGGAAAAATTTCTCGATTTTATCAACAAAAATTCCGTTCCGACCTTAAATAGAAGTTTGGCCGAAAGGACGTGTCCGCATACCAAATAGGCAAACGAGGGACAAAGGCAAAGAAGCAAAAGGTTTGCGAAAAATCCCCCAATACTGATTGTGGAAGTCTTTTTTTCTGATAACTTTATGCATACAAATAGGTGGAAATTTTTATGTTTCTGTATATATTGTCGCTTTCGGGTATCCGGCTAGATTTGTTACAGCGGCTGAATGTTTTACTGTAGCGACTAGGGGTGAACGTAATTTGGGTTTTTGGTTTGAAGATCTAATTTATTTGGGCAAGACATTGGTCGCCAAATAAAAGCTATTTTTCTATAATTGGTGAATATTTTTAAAACCGTTTATTAGGGCAGTAATTTTCAGCGTAGGTTTTTTCCCATTTGTATGCGTCTTCCGGCCCTCCATCCAAACTTTGCGAAATTGGCTCCCGATCCAGTTCAGTGGAGGACGGAAACGGAACTGCGGAACTGTTCCGTGCAGATTCTCCGACGCTACTCCAACGTTAGCCCGCTCGCTGCCGACGACTTAATCTTCTTTCTTTTCACTTTCCCTACTTCCGGCTTTTATTACACGTCGGAAACCAATGGCAGAACTTTTACAGCTTTTCATCATGCTAACTGAGAACAACTTTCGGTTAGCAAACTATGAGTAGCTAGTTGAGCAGGGTTATACCAGTGTCTAACATTGAAACTGCAAACTTTAGTTGATATTAAATAAATGTCTAGCAATGATAGATTCAATAGAAAACACTCATGTTTCTTATGAAGATTTGGGAAAAATTCTGTCGATGCGCCACTGACTGTATTCCCGATTTCTCCTCTCCCTAGTTCTATATTATTCTCAACTCGCGGAACAAACGCCCGTGCCTGCTAATGTCTCACTTTGCGCTAGTTTATCTGTTGTGTCTTAATTTTCCCCGATTTCCCCTTCTTCCAGTTCACAACGTGTTATTGCAATTTTATTTTCGGCTGATTTCCGCAATGATTAAACCTTATTTTATTTGCCGATTTTCCAAACAAGAAATGGTTTCTAGAAGCCCAAGCAAACTGGATTTATAGAAGTATTTAATTAAAAAAAACACAAAAAAGGATGTCGAGAATACCGCAAATTAGTACCTATGACCTAACCAGACCAGTTCTTATCTAGACCATATCTTATAGCAGATTAAAGAGTGAAGGCGGAAAACGATAATTAATGGTGATTCAAAGTGATGAAAATTCAAATGAAAAACTGACGATTTTTTGCAGTTTTCGTACTTAATTGCATAGAAATTGTATCAGATGTATTGAGAAATTATTTTTTCAATTGTGCAAAAAATACTCATTTAAAAAGTAAATGGAATTATGCTGTAAACATTTTGGTTCAAAACTGGAAAAAAAGTATAACGGGGGCGGCAAAAATAAATCCTAGGTGATTTCTCGAAAGGAAAGCTCAAATGGAAAACCTACGATCTTTTTAAGGTTTGATCAGATGTAGTACGTGATGTATTTTTGAAAAACTCTTTAAACAATATCTTGTTGGATTCGTTTAAAATAAGCAAGTGTGGGTATGAATTTCCCTATTTTTTTGTTCCAGCTGTTGCAACTTTTTTGTAACTTATCGGCTTAATTTATTTCTGGATTTTTACAAAATAAACAATTTTTATAATTTAGCTTAGACTTGCTCTAAGTGTCTCGAACATTTGCCTGCTAATCTTAAGACAGTGTTTTTCATCGAAGCAGGTCAATTTCCAGGACTGTATCCTCCCTTGCCCGTTGCAACGCCCTGTATAAAAGCGATCAGTCCGAGCGAAGGATGGACAGCGGGAGGTTCAACAGTCATTATAGTAGGCGATAATTTTTTCGATGGACTTCAAGTCGTTTTTGGGACTATGCTTGTTTGGAGTGAGGTAAGTGTATCATAACTGTCTACACTGACCTAACTATTCCTTACTTCTGAATGTGAATATTTCTCAGTTGATAATCCAATTTGAACAATTTTTTTATCGAATTATAGCTTTAATCTTTGGCAAAATTTATGTTTTAATTTAAACAAAAAATACAATAAAATTTGTTGTACAGAGGGTTTGAATAGTGTCATGTTTTCTTGCTTAAAGTTAAATTTGCCTTGACTTCAATTTTGCCCATGAACAGAGGGGTATGATTTCACAAAAAGATTATTCAAATCGGATCACCGTCTGAGAAAATATTCACAATTCAGCAAATAAATGTGGTGCGCAGTGTACGATCGTAAAATGTAATGTTATTTTACTCATTTTTTTATTTTATTGTTATTTAGTATTCTTAATCGTTGTGCCGGGGCAAAACAGCATTAAGCAGCACAATTTTTAAAAATATATTTTTTGCTTGCAACAGCTTTGCAACATACATTTTGTTTTTTAATTTTGCCAATTATTCGGGGGAATTTTCTCATTAGCCCCGAGCTAAAATTATAAGAGCATATATATAAAATAAGAGAATTAATGGAGAATGGACGAAGCAAAAAATTTAAAAAAGAACTGAAAAATCAAGCAAAAATAAATCACTGGTCTAAAATACACTGACAGAGATAAGTAAGAAATTTCAAAAAAAAGCTCTAAATTTTGCAAATTGGAGTCAAGTTATTGAGAAAACACAGCTGAAGCTCGTAAAACTAGGTTTGCGGTAAAATTCATGAATCGATTGAGTTTCAATTCCATTTGCTCTCATCAAATTAACATAAAGAAGTAATTGCTTTATCCACTAAAGAAGTGGTTAGTTTTTTATTTCAGCTCATTAATTCTTTTAATTTCAGTTAATAACTCCTCATGCCATTCGAGTGCAAACGCCCCCACGTCATATACCTGGTGTTGTAGAAGTGACGTTATCGTACAAATCTAAACAGTTTTGTAAAGGTGCTCCAGGCCGATTTGTGTATGTCTGTGAGTATTCACTAATTAGCCGTAAAAGTTCAATGTTATTTGTGGATTTCGGAGACAACAACAATTTATTTACTGCAGCCCTAAACGAGCCCACTATAGACTATGGATTCCAAAGGCTTCAAAAGCTGATACCGCGACATCCTGGGGATCCTGAGAAGTTACCAAAGGTGAGCTAGTTATTTGGTATATTTTAATTGTGTCTGTGATGAAAAAATACAAAACCAGACTCCACCAATATCTTAATAAAAGTTGGAGAAGTTTGTCCTCACTCCATCCCAATCTTCTTCAAAATCACCCAGTATTTTTACAAGTTCTAGGACAAAAAATCGATTCAATTTAGTCAATATGTTAAGGGCGGTGTTTCTTCTAGGAAATTATACTGAAAAGGGCAGCTGATCTTGCAGAAGCCCTCTACTCGATGCCCAGAAACAATCAGCTCTCCTTGTCGGCACCACGGTCGCCTACAATGGGAAACAACGGAATGCCAACGTCCTTTAACGCATACACTGGCCAACTTGCAGTCAGCGTTCAGGACACTGGAAACGGTCAGTGGACGGAAGGTTCGAGTCCTTCTATTTTTAAATAGATCTCAACTCTTAGAAAGAATTTTTCATTCTCTGTCTGTTTCACTACTTTGTCTTCAATTGTTACTAAGTTTGGAATTCAGACCTGATCATTATCACCCTGTATGAAAGGTTGAACCCAAAACAGCATTTCCAAGATAGAACGTAAATAGACCGACATTGGAAGAACCTTTTGCTCTTTAGTTAAATTGCTGCTCAAACTAGACTTCTTTAAGAAATTCAGGAAAACACACTTAATTAGGACTGCATTGAGGATCAGTGGTAGCTTCACGAACGTCCTCAAATTCTTTCCTCTTCTTGTGCCTTGTTTATACTGATTCGCATTTTTACCTATAGGGTTTTTCTTCTAGATGAGTACGGCCGGACTCAGAGCAGCAGCGTGAGTCCAAGGGGTGGCGGTTATTGTTCCAACGCGTCCACCCCCCATTCTTCCAATGGGGGCTCGTATGGAGGTGGTGGCAGTCAGATGAATGGGTACGGGGGTGCCACTCCAACCAGTACCATGGGGAATATGTTGCCGGGTAGTCCATCAGCAGGAATTTTCAACACCACACCAAGTAAGWTTTTGTTCGTTTGAAGAACTGAATTAAATGTTCTGTTATTGTCCGTCTTRTMGTCWCGTATCTTCTATTATWMTTATWRTCATTRWGTATAAGTWATWTTTTGAGGCTTCTCAGCTAAAKGTTACAWYATATGCKAYTTATGCAGGGYTGCCCATTAGTGCGYCAAAGTGCGATTTMTCAGTTAAGTTTGGAGAGTGAGAAGTGAGAAYTTTGGAAGCAAATGTTTCATWSAAAAGTTTTCGRTGTTTTAAAGGTGCATTGTAAAGTTGTTTTTCAATTTACCGGCTGAGTTATAAACGTGTGGTAGTAACCAACTGTGGCTTTTTTWAAATTGSACTGCTCCTTTCTTTGTCATTTTCGGCTCTTACAGAATCTTTCAAATTTTAATCCAAATTTATTTCAGATGTTTTATCTCCCTTATAATATAAAAATTGAAATAAKTTTCTTAAATTTGCCAAATAACAACAACTGGCMGTAAAATTTGCCAACRGCGAAAATTTAAAAAAATATATTCGCTCTATTTGAATCAAGCCAGTTATTGAAGATGAAAAACATGCGACTWTCACGATTTATTGSGCGRTTTGTGGAGAACTGAAGAATATTAGGAATGCTTTTATTCATAGGTTCTTAATCACTTTTTACTCTTACCAAAAAAAAAATGTATTRGGGAATTTTTAAKATCGAGGAATTCAAATTTTCTAGTAGCTTGTAGTTCCTAGCAAGCGGTAGGAAACATCAGAAACGTGTTACGTTTTAAAATATCCCTTTTTTGTTGCCAAAGTTTGAAAACAGTAATAAAAAAACAGTATTTATTTAGGCACATTAAGAACTACTTTAGACTACTTCTTAAACTCAGTAATGCGTTCAAGAAAATCAGAAACATTCGGAAACTTTTTTCATCCTTTGGGTTTTTTTGGCTAAGCTAGGTGAAAAGCATTAACACAAATTGCTCTAAGTGATGATGCAAACAACTTTTTAGAGAATACAAGAAACATTGAAAATGGTTCAACATCAAAACCCAGCTGAAGAGAAATGGAACAACGAAAGAGTTTTGCCACTACAAATACAGTTATTCCAAAAATGTATTTATTTATAACTCCAAATCAAAATTAATTCCTGGGTTTCAGTCATTTATTGTCTTTATTTATCAATTAAAATACGTTTCGGTGTATTTTTTCGCCATAAGTTTTTCTGGAATTTAATTTTGGGAACGGACAGAATCAAATAAAATATTTGAAAGTCTTGGACGTATTCTATATGCAATGTTTGTTAGGCCTAATTAATTTTAAAATATTTTAAAGCAATTGTGATGTATTTTAATGTGTGAAATGATGAGGCTGTTGACGAACTGTGATTGTTGTTTAAATTAATAATTTTTTTTTAACTATGTTATTTTAGAAAAACTGATTATGATGGAAAAATACACCGAAACGTATTTTAATTGATAAATAAAGACAATAAACGACTGAAACCCAGGAATTAATTTTGATTTGGAATTGAAACACAGTCAGGAAATTATATACAATTTATGTATAGCTGTTGAGTTTAATATATTTTTAACTATTTAAATCCATGCCGCATTCTTCAGAAGATAGTAATACTAGTTTTCCGTTGGCTTAAGGTGCCATACTTTACTTTCAAAAATAATTTAGCTCCAAAAATCCGGAATATTTTGCGTTTAAATCTTGCATTTTTCAAGACATTTTTTGCGTATCTCTATCCTGATTACCTCTGATTGTTCTTTAGGAAGTGCGCTGTTCAAAATTAATCACTTTACACAAACTGCGAATTTTTTAAATGCGAGATTATAGATTATATTTTTGAGATTTCTAACAGAAGAAAATTAATGAAAAACATATAATAATTGTATAACACAGAAATCTAGCCAACTGATCGTTTTGCCTAAAATGGCCCTTTTATTATAGTATTTTGTCAATGTATTCTCACAAAAAAAACACTTTTCATTAAAAAACTCTACTTTCTGAAGCGATCATCAATTTATTAGCCAATTAATTTCCTTATGAAAAATAGAATATCATTGACAATTTTTCATCCCCTAATCACACCGGAAAACCCATCTGGAAGGCCCATATGATGCAAAGCCAAACGCACCCCATTTATTTTTTTATCTATCACGATCTGCAAGTGTCTTTTCATTACGCCAACAAAGGCCAAAAAGACAGGACTGATCACCGAAGGGCCCTTCACTGCACTTATCCCTTAAATCGATGTATTATCGCCAACCATATGGGACCCTCCTTATTAAAAATGCTCACTGAAACCCAACAACGTTTTATTCATGCACCCCGTTATGTAAAAGAAAAACTTGATGATTTTTGCTTGTTTTGCTTACCTGTTTTTTTGTCTGCTTTTTAGCTTGCTCGGAAAGTTATTACAAAAACATGCACGTCCCTGGTACCGAAAAGGAAAAAAGCGCTTTTGCACCAGTTTTAAAAGGGGCCGACACGCCGCCGCCCTACCCGGCTGCGCCCGCAATGTTTCATCATCAGGGTGTTACAGGGTGGCACCATTTAGCTGTGCAATGAACCAGTGTTAGTAGTTTGGATACATATTTTTCATTTACAACCCCAAAACTGTGCAGTTCTTAAATAGGACTAAAGTGATTTTTTTTCAGGAATGTCTTTAGTGGCATCACCGTTTTCATCGATGAACCCCTTCGCCCTCCCACCGTGTAACAGCCAATCATACGGATCGCCTGCACTGGTCGGACCAACCAAATAGCCCGAAATAACCGGCAATGCTGCTGCCATTGGTAACTCTTCACTGTAAGATTTTTGCGTAGAAAAATCAATTTTTTATCCGAACTGGAACTGTTTATGGAGAAAAAGTGGTGCTTCGTTTGCTCTTTTAACGACTAATCTATCATGTAATCACACGTTTTACAAAAAAATTAACTCATCCGGGTGCCTGTATTTGAGCAGTTTGTTAATTTAAATCCTTTAGGAATAACAGGTTTAACTTTTTTGTCCAATCAGCTCGACGGCTCAATTATATATAGGGAGACGAGATTTCTTATTCTAATTTATGATTTACTGCGGTAAAAATCGATTATTTCTGTAATATGGAAATTATTAAAAGTGTGCAGTTTTCTCAACTAACTTCAGCCCTCTACAGTTTTCAACACCTTTTCCTGGCTTCTCTAAAATCCGATTTGTTTCTGGGGCATTTAATTAGTGCTAAAACCCCATTGATTTTAAGGTTCACTACAAGAGTTTAAAAGTTATAATCTTAACAGACGAAAACGGATTTAAGATGCAGAATATAAAAGGTACTAATAAAATAATTATTTTTTTGCATTTTTAATTGCCGCATTGGTTCGTGCTGCTCTTGTTCATTTCTTACACCTGAAAGTTAAACCTTTGACAAAACATACTAGTGGAAACTCAATTATTTCGCTTTAGAATCAATCACTCAAGGATGTTTTGTAGAGTTTAAATGCAAGTAGAATTTGTAGGTATTGGAACTATCGGTCTGTGATCATACTAAACTTATGAAGCATTCACTTACTTTAAGCACGCAAAACCTTAGTTTCTCATGTATAAATTTCGTCTTCTCATCATTTTTGGCACCAGTATTTTAACATATCTTACGAGGAAACAAACACTTAAAAGTATACATATCGCTTAAAGCTGGGATTCTAAACTTAATAAGTAGAATTGTAAATAGTGTATAGATTAGAGTAAATTTTAGGATTATCGTCTTTTCTAATTAATGTACATAATACTGTAGAAAATCTTATAGGGTTTAACAAACAACGACAATGCAGATTTTGTAAAAGTCATATCATTGGCGAAGTACAGAGGATTTTAGTAGTGCATTTATAATCAATGAATTTAACGAATAAATCAGTTACACACACGCTAAAATGCTATGTATTAAAAATCGGTATCATTATTTAAACATTTGGAAATCTAAAGGTTGTTTCTATTTTTGACGGACACGTTCGAACCAGACCTAGTATACGAAAATGTATTTTAAATTAATTCGAAACATCGCACGTATTCTATTAAAAAAAAGTTTCTATAATATAAAGAGGATTATGATTTGTAAATAATGTCTTTATTAATAACCATTGTATTAAGTTGTTAGTTTGATGAAAATTTTATTTCAACTTTTGTATTTATTTTGTTATTGACTTTGTATATTTATTTTTCTTTATTGATATGTAATAAATAATTTTTATCAAAAACTGCCTATTTTTCTACTCTCTTCCCCAGGGTTGCAGTGGTAATGTGGTGGTGCTTTGTTCTTCATTCGTTCGACCGAAACAATACCAGGAACAGAAGATTTAAGACTCGCTCAAATTTCTTTTATTATTCATAAGGTTGTCAGAATTTGATGCGTTCAAAGTTCGCCTGCAGGAGTCGCATTTCGCCCATATGGGGAATTTTTAAAAGCTACTTTGCTACCCCAAAATAGTGGGTTCGAATCCCTCTCGAACAAAAACCTAATTACTAGCTCATTCGCGTCCTATGCCGTCCTGCCAACCAGATTAAAGGTCCCGATAACGGTAACATGATTAGAGAGTTATTGCGCGCACGCTAAAAGTTCGATAACTATGAAAAATGTATTTTTTTTTGGTGGCAGTTGAAAATGTTTCAAAGTTTTCAAATTCACTTGTTGGTGCTCATCGCAGATAAATGTTGATCTTTCAGATGAGAAGTTTTTTAAAGTAAAAATTAACATTTTCTACATGTGTTTTTTATTTCATTTTCAATCAATCAACATTGCCATTTGTTTCTTTGAATTTTCATGGGTTTTTTCTTCTGTTAATGATAAGATCAACCCTAAATAGATTAAAAGAAACAATATTGTACTATTTTTTAAAATTAATTGCAGTCCTTACATGGTTGTATTATTTAGGGTTCCGTAGCAATTCAAAAAGCACATTTTTTGCTGTTTAATATAACGTAATTATTAGCGATTCGGCGCAAATTTCCGTCAAATTTGTGACGGCAAAACTCCCTTTGGATGCCTGATCATATTTAGATCAAGTCAAATCAACTTTGCTGAAAGCTGAAACTCGATATTCCTTATATTTGAGAGGGTGATGTGCATTTGTCAGAACGTGTCGTAAGTGACGCAATCAAAGGGAACTGGCTAGTTATTATTCTCATAAATTAGCATTTGCATGTGCCAAACCATAACAGCAAATTTATCTGCAAATTGCTTCAAAAAAATTACATTTTTAAAGTCGCCATCGATTGGAAATCGCCTTTTATTAGTGCTTATTATCTAATATTTTATTTAGGAACTTGACCAACCGCATGATTTTGTTTCAACCTCTGTTATAACAGCTGGGATAAATTGCAAAAACAGAATCAGTGAATCGATAATGATAAGAATATTAGAGAAAGAATAAAACTTCTGAAAAAACATCCGTGCCATAAAATGTTTAAAGTCCGGTTGTAAGTTGGTCTTTTTGCTTACGTACTTCTCCCTGGCCACTAACGGCAAAAATTACTCTGATCCAGATAATTTGTTTAATAATTACTTGAATTTTCAATAGGCTTAATTTAATTGCACATTCTGCCACGACCTAATTTCTATAAATTTATCTAATTGGGACATAAATAAAATGTTTAATAAAGTAGGATTTTATGCGGAATTCTTATTTTGAGCGACATATTTTTTTTTAATCTTTCCGAGCGATGCAGAAATCAAACTCATGAATCAATTTTCAAGCTTCAGACTAAAAAAAATTCCAAAAATAGACGAATATTTAGAACAAACCGACAGTTGCAGCATTAATAGAGCAAGATTTTGATTTTCCCAATGAAATGGTTTTGAAGCCAGACCTGCAAATATTTCTCGTCAAGAGCGACAAATTTTAAAAAATTTCGTTCAATCATTGTGAAAATCAAACTCAATTATTAAGCTTCAGATTTGAAAAATCCTCAAAACACAAAGAGGCTGGAATAAATCGGCAGTTGCAGGACTTTTGGCTTTTTTTCAATTGAATACTGTCTTGTAGCTAATTGCTGTTTTGATCGACAAATTCTTGTGAAAAGGTCTTCGAGACGTTGTGGAAATCGAGCTGAATGTTCAAGCTTATTTTATATTTAATGCAGAAAATTTTCCTAATTGCAAGAATAGCAATCTAATCAATTTTCTGAGTTCAGTTTCACAGTTTTCTCAACTGAACAATGATTAGCTAATTTAATATTTGATTTAAAAAAAATGTTTTCAAGTGTGAACTTAAATTGCATTTTCAAGCTTCAATCTTAAAAAATCCTCTTGAACTTTCTAGCTAATCAGAATGTTTTGTAAAATTACGCCACGACGACAAGTAGTGAAAGTCAAACTCGATTTGCCAATTTTCCTTTGGCCAAAAATTCCAAACCAAATGAGGGTGTGATATACATATAATAATTTTGAATATAGTCGCAAAATTTATCTACAATAATCCTGACATAATGGCGCAATGATGATCTAAGCAATTTGAATAGGCAGGCAGTTTAAATAAAGCGTTTACTCTTAATTCGCATATTCCGGAAGAGAAATTTATAGACAATACCAGTTAATATGAAAATCGGTATATCAAACGGCATGTACTTGCGGGTTATGGGTCCTTATCAGAATTTTCCGCGCTTTATTCACCCTTCAAACAGCCATAAAACGACAGCTTTTGGTTTTATTATAATATTAAGATAAAAACAGTGGAAAATATGGAAATATACCTATGGGGGGATGTGCAGATAAAAGTTCAGCTCCAATTTTCGATTATCATTTCGTGTAAATGATAACTGGCACAAATCGGCCCTCTAAACAATTCAACGAAAAACTTGATAAATAAACTGAAAAAAATTGCTACATACATTTACCGCTGTTTCTGCGGTGAAAACCATTCGAACTTGAAATTACGCCACCAGTCCTTCTGGCACAGCCATCTGTTAGTGAGTAAAAGGCCATCCTGTTCCCCATTTTTTTCACCCTCAGAATAATGCTACTGCTCGTTACCATTTAGAGAGTGTCAGTGTTAAACGAGGGATTGTTCTCATAAGGTATATGATTTTTGAACTACAAAATTTTTTTTAGAGATTTTACAGTCGATGCTGTGGTATAGCAAAATGTCCCAGAATATAGGATTTTATTACAGTATTCAAGATTATTATCGAGAATTATAAAGAGAATAAAATTAAATATTAACTTTACCACCCTGTATGTCAAAAACTCTTAAAATTGGATTTTTTAAGAGCCCTTAAAGTCGTGACTCACCCGGTATAGGCACATTTACTTACTTTGGATCCTCACTATGTTTATGTAAGCAGCTACTTTCTCAAAGCGTCAATATGTAAAGCAATAATTTTTTTAAGAAGCGAAGAATTAGAAAGAAATAATTATTGAACTGACTTGCAAAAACGACAAATAAAACTAACTAAAATTGCGCAGCAAGCGTTGTCTTGCCTAACTGCAAACATAAGTAAAATACAGATTTAACTAAATCTGTGTATTTGCAAGTTCAAAAGTCCAAACGCCCACTGGCGGCTAAATTATAACTACACTCTAGCTTGTAAAATTTGACACTTGTTTTGATTAGACGTCATTGTGACTTATTTTGTTCTGTGCTACTCAGCTTTTGCAAGCCTTCAAACAAATAGAATCAAATTGGTAAGTATTGTTTCATACCTATTATATACGAGTTATAGACTGAAAAACAATGGTAAAAGAATGGGATTTCGCAGCGCCCTCATCGCTAGTTGAACGCGCAGACGATTCTAATCCTTTTGTAGCATCCAATGTGAAAATCTCCTCTACACGATTTACCCCTGTTTAATAGCTTAATACCTTTGCCTACATTGTTGGATCGTGCAATCGGCACACAACCAGAAATAAGAGCCACAGCTTCGAATGACACAACATTGACACGACATGACAGTAATCGGCACTCGTGCAAGCCCGAGTGTTTCCGTCGATTACCAAAGTCACGTGACCGGCACGCGACTCTATCTAATTCGAGTTATCCGGCGACCGAACAATTGAGCATCGTGGAGCTCATCCTGCTTCAGGTTCTTATGAAAACTGTGAGAAAAGCTTTTCACAACTTCAGTATGGCGACATTGTGGATAAATTTAAAACGCTCAAAATTTAAATGGAAAATACAGTAAATAAAATTAAATAATTGAGTGCAAGAGGGTTAAAATTAATGAAATGATTAAATTTTCAATTCCTCAATGTTCCTCAATTTAATTAAGATGTTAGGCAACATCGTAAAAGTACGGGAATGAAAACAGTGAATGTCTTTTTTTCCTTCCTCAAATGATTAAATGATTAGTAGCGCATGTTTAAAAAAAAAGAGTTTTTAAAGAGTGTAGGAAAAAAACGTGAGAAGTAATTTCTAAATTCTACGTGTAGTAAGACACACGAGATACCCTGTATCAAAACACAATCACGCATGGGAAGTTTGTTACTCTCTGTAATAAAAATAGGGCGCAATGCGCTGAAAACCAGTAATATTTTAAAAATAATAAAATTGTAAGAAAAAGTCGACTAAAAACAAAACCTCCCAAACTCAGTTATAAGCCAGATGGGGGATACAGGGAATCCAGACAAATTTGCGCAACTTAATTGCAAAGTAAATACTAAACTACTTTCATTTTGAGTGCAGAAGTAGATAATTTATTTACTTATCAATTCAGGCGCTACCGATTTAAATACTTGAAGCCCCGTATCGTTTAATTGAAAACTCGAGAACGGGAATAGAAAACAGAGAAATAAATTGGAAAATTTACGTAAATAGCATAAAAACACAAGGATATAAAGATGAAAGACACTCGTGTGGTATTGAAGGATTGGACAGTTGATTATAAAACTGGAAAAACCGTTTCTGTTCATAAACCTATTAAAGAACTTTCTGATATTTTACTGTTGCAATTTATTCTAAATCCATAAAAATCATCAAAAATATAGTTAAGTTAAAAAAATATATTCGGGAAAAAACATCTGCAATCTTCGCCCCATTTGTACCGCAGGTTCGTACAGCTTTATCATAAGCTGACCATATGGGAGTGAGATTTGCTCGAAATCTAATTACACAATCCGCATCATCCTCTGTATACAATACCATTAAAGTTTGTTTTTTAAGTGCTTTGTGCCCGTATTAAATGACATTCCCTGTACGCAATCGGACCTACAAATTGGGACGTGTGGGAAAGGAGGATTATTGGATGATTTTTCGAGTGCCCTTTGAGTTCTAGTTCACTAGATCATGCTTAATTGACTAGTGTAGACCAATCTGATTCTCACAATGTTTTAAAATGATTTAAAGGTTGCCACCAGCGATCGATTAAAACCATATAAAATTATTAATACCTACAATTTTAAGATTCAATCAATGTGGATAATTGCGAGGGAATTAGTTGAAATTCAAAAATTAATCTTGTTATTTCCTTTAAGCTGGCTTTAATCTTTTCTTTGTACTGAGCTTTCTCTAAAAAAACGCACTAGAAAATCCTCCAAGCCCATTTTTATCAAATACTATCGATTTGGAAAAAATCTCGTCTGTTCAATGTGTATGCTTTACTTATTACATCGCAGATAAAATGCAATAAATAGAGGTGATCTAATTCCTAAAATTATTGACAAGTTTAGTCCATTTTTCAATACGACGTTCACCTTTAGTTATTTCGTGACTCTTCAACCGGTGACTAATAATTTGGTGATCAGTGTAATTACGGGAAAACATTGTGCGTTTCCGAGTTGAAACAGTGTTTTAATGTCTCCTAGTGGGATAACTATTGTTTTGTTATTTAAAAAATATGCAGTGAATGGTGGTTTGATAAATCTATCGTGCATCGGTGGTTTATAAAACGTGCTACTGCGTGTGTTAGTGGATTTACGTACTTTTATAGTGATTCATTCGATAACACTATTTTCGGTACATTGGAATAACTCTTAATGTTTGCAGGTGAGTCGCCAGAAAAGGTTAATTTACTATTTTGCTACATATGCAAAGTTTCCGGGAAAGCAACAAGTATAAATGTGCAAAGAATTATTTTTGAAAACTTTAATAGAGAAATTGAGGAATTTTCAAAATATTACAGCCTGCATCAGATATCTCTGAAACACTGTTTTAAACAAGTTTTAATTTTAAGCTTGCAATTCTTGTGAATGTCTTTTGCTCAATCGAAGAACAGTAGGTAATACTGAACCTCGGCTTTAGCACGCAGTACAATGACGAAGTTCTAGAGCGAAAAAGTGTAAAAGTTTCAAGTGAACACATCAGAATTAAGCGAAAAAGTAGCGGCAAAGGCAAATAATAGAAAGCTGCAAGTGCTTAAACATTGCTTCTGTACTCAAAACATCTACAAAATTACAACCGCAAATGAAGCATTTCCTCATTTCCTGAATATGGAGTTTAAGTTTCTGACAATATGTATTAAAATCGACACATTTTTAAGTGAAAAAAATATTTTTTCCGAAAAAAGACCTGTAAAGATAATATTTAATGAGCCTTTGAAATCCAGCAAAAGTCGAATGATTAATTTTTACTTACTAAAATAGCGATATACAAATTGGCTCGGACCCTTACCAGACTCAAAACACAGAAGCACTCCTCTGTTTCGGTCGTACAACCGAAAACAAAAAGCTATTGCAAACCATTGAATTTTTTTCATATTTGGGAAGGTCTGGCTTTTTTTTACAAACTTCTTGTTGGGTATTTCGCCTCAAAAATGTTTGTCTTTAAAAAAGACAGAATTTCCTCACGTCTTTTATTACAGATTGATAAATAGTGCTCCTGTTTCGCAATAAGAACGAATTATGAATATAAATAACTGACAATTTGCACAGACGAATTATCAGAGCGAATTTTCATATACTGTACTATTGTTACACAATTTATTAACATACTCTTTTTTAGGTTCATTTAGGTTCTTTTGATAACGATAGCAGGAAATAGCTATCGAAACGTCAAGGTAATTTTTCCAATTAATTTCTTTACTAATTGGAATTTTCTCTTACAGCTTGAGCCTAAGTGTATCGCAGGATACCCTCTAGGTGATAGTTCTTGATTACTTTTTGATAAATAATTCGTT